ACTTCAATGATTGATAACTTTGTAAAGACCTAGACGTTATTACAGCCATGTAAGTTTACGTTTACAATGTAACCTATCGAGAGACGTTGAAGACCTTACAATTTACATGGCTGCATTTAAAAATGAATGTCGTAACATTTACAAAATTATCACGCGCACGAGTAAGATTGGTAGGCAGGACCTACAATAAGGCCAGTCCTTCACGCCATATTGGAAATGGCAACCATATCGTCTTCGGTCATGTGATTAAACGTGGCTCGTAAAATCGAATTTGGTTTCATACTTGCACTTGTGCGAACTTCTTTGGCAGGTAAGGCAAAAGTTACAAGTGCACCAACTTTTGTCTGCGCTTATTTTTTAATCCCTCACGAATATTTACTTTATAGGAGACAGAAGTTACCTATTTTGTTTCCCTAACAAAGTTTATGCCATTCATGATAATCGGTTGACAACACAAATCCATAATCTATTGATACTCGTATTTAGTAAGATTTAAATGAATACAGATGTTTTTTTTTTATCAAAACCTTACACGTATCTACCAAGCGATTGGTCCTCGCGTTGCTTCCATTTATGTTATATTATTTTTTTACGGTTTAAATGTACCAGAAGCAAAATATCTTGTAACATTTGGAAAATAATTAGAGGTCTGGATGACGAAGATGGCCATTGTTTTCTTTGTTATATTCAAATTCAAATTACGAATCCCAATACATGCACCATAGCAGCCATTAGCTGTTAGGGTTTAATACATGACCTCCAATCTAGTTTTCACAGGACTTGGCGGTTACATTCACAACCTTTTGGATATATGAATATGGGCAGTTCGGATTTCGACGTTAATAACTACTTACCTTTAATCCTAAGTTTCATATTCAAAATATATTCAGAATATTCAAAATATTTTGATCACCTCATTTGTGAAACTTATTTTATTACTCTACTTATTTTTGTAGCAATAGCGTACAACGTAGATCCACCCTTGTGTGCTGTCGGGCGCAAAATCCCGGGTCGAGGCAATAAACGCGATTAGACAAACATTTCCTGACGCGCGCCACTTTTTTCCAAAACTTAGTGAATAAATCAGATCGGTGGTGCGTCGCAGTTTTCTACTCGTCTTGCCAAATTTATGTACCGATCGGCCCTTTCGTATGGAGATGTGGCTCGCTATTTCCATATAAATACCTCGATTATTTGAATTATTCAATCGAGAGGGGGCGGCGCTGACAAATCACTTCCTAAGAGATGGCACAAGTCGCTGGGCTTGAGATGACTTGACGCGTGTAGGATACATGGCCGTACACAGATTCATATAAGTTTTTATGATACCTTCTTAACATTCTTGGACTTAGTTGGAATGATCAATTCAATTTATCGACTTCTATGTAGTTGGAAAAGTGTTATTCTTGATGTTTTTGTTACTTATTCGATGTTTTCGTCAAGACGATATAAGTAGATATGTAGCTACTCCATAAATGTTATATGTGTTTTTATAGTATTTGAATGATTAATTCAATGTGCGTAACACAAACAAAATTAATTTAGATCTCTGTGGAGTTAGTGTATTGTAATCTAGTTTGTTCAAAAGCCAATATTTTCTTAGAAATACGGAGGAAAGCAGTAAACAGATAGGTACTTATTGCAAATTCATGAACACTAACATGTCTCTATTAACTTTAAAATTTTTGAATAATGCATAAATAGGATGTTTCAAACATCCTATTCATGCATTATTCAAAAAAAAATTAACAATTGTAAAGTTACAGTAATAGGTTTCTAATGATCAATCGATAATCATGAAATTTTCATACATGTACTAGGTTTGCCCACCAGGGGCACAAAAGAAATTTTTACCTCAAAAGGAGTTATTGTTACCCAGAAATAGTGGATTGATACTTATATAAATGTAAGCGAATCCGTGGACGGAGTCTTGTCTACAATTAAATACAATTCACAAAGAATTCTTATTGACTTTTTAGCTCACGTTAAGTACATTACATAACCTTTCGACCTATATTTATGTGCTCTATTTTACTTTTTCAGGTAATCAAAACACTCGCAGCCTAAGATAAAGGAGGTCGTAGCTACCTAAAAAGATACTTTAGAGTGAGAAATAAATCAAAGTGCATATGTTTATTATTTATTTTAGCTGTAAAGGGTAATATACCTAATAAAAAAGCGAATAGATAGTTAGTAGTTGGGTGTAGTTTGCCCGCAGTTTTATGTCCTCTCACGTGTCATTTAGCTGGGGAAATAGAAGTTTTTGTATGGAAATCGGACGCACTAAACTCCGAGGCCCGGTCGCGCTCCGCCTATTGTTACCATATAACTGCCTCATAAAAGTTTATCATTCGCATGTAAAACAAACTATTCTGCTTATAATTTTTCTTTTTTTTTATGTTAGAGGGGGCAGACGAGCAGACGGGTCACCTGATGGAAAGTGACTATCGCCGCCCATGAACGTCTGCAACTCAGGAGTCACAAACGCGTTGCCGGCCTTTTAGGAAGGAGTACGCTCTTTTCTTGAAGGTTTGAAGGTCGTATCGGTTCGGAAATACCGCAGACGATAACCCGTTCCACAGATTGGTTTAATTTAATTTTTATTTGCAAAAATCCCAATAAATACAAAGGTATTTTTACTTCTATTCGTAAACAGATTACGGTGAACGGTTTTACTAGTGCCAAATGGGTAAGTGATACATGACATAGACGGTTCCGCAGTGTTCTGATATGAGGAAGGTATCGGTCGGTAAATAATTTCCTGTTATTTATAGAATCTAAAACTCAACTAAAACATTAAGCTATAAGGAGTTTAGGTACCTGCCCGCATATCATCCCTTGATGCCATAAAATCATTTTTCTACAATTATAGGCAGAATATCACAAATTGTTAGTTCCTTGAATAATCCTCCTCATTTATTTAGTCAACCGGTCACAAAGGTTTTAGCTTGATTTCAAAGGTAGTACTAAAAACCAAACTCTTCATCTCTCTCTTTTCTCTCTCTTTATTATATTAGTATTCCTTGATGTTGATATTCCCAATAAACACGAAAAAAATATTGATGAAACATACATACGTTTTATTATCTAATGCTTTTAAACATATAAGTTACCCTTGTAAATGTGACGCCTGATAAGAATCTGTGCGTTAAAATCCCTTGCTAGGTGCTCCTGTTACTACATTTATATCGCTAATCGGGTTATTGTCTCGTTCGAGCATTAGCAGTGAATGTAGCCGAGTGTGGTGCGGGCAGCCGTTACATCTGATAAGGCCATTTGATATGCTAATAGTGTTGGCAAATGTTCGCGTAATGAGCGTGCGACGGTTTAACGCCTGCGATACACCCGCGCTTCTTTACGCATTTGTGTTTCAACTTCTATTTTTTTTGTTATTTGAAGTTAACTAATCTCGATTTTTTTCTTCTTTATAGGTAGAAAATTATATCGTATTAACATCGAAATAACTTATTTTATCTTAAGCAAATCTTACCGAATATGAAAAACCGGACTTTATCGCGATAATATATAAAAGCTTCGATATATTTTTGGTTACATGATGTTAAAAGACAAACGGTACTTTAAAATTGAAAAGGGTTACCAACGCATAAAAGCCTCAGGTAGCATGCATCTTGTAGTTTGACAGCACGAATGGCATGAATAGTTTCAACATTTTTCTAGGCACTGTGTCGCCCTTGTAGTAAATGTTCACTTATTGCCAAAAATGATTTCTTAGTTTCATTTCGCTCGTTATTTAAACTACTTTCTGGGTACTATATTCAGCACTGTTGTCTCGTCCACTGTAAGCTTAAAATTTAAGGGATAACTACATGCTCTGTAAAACATAGGGCTGAAATCGACGGATTAAGATGATATCGCACTAAATTTGACGCACATTACATGCATTCGGTCGCGCGCCATCATTTGATCATCAGTTAACATTTAATGCGTCGTAATACTCTCTTTGTTCAGCTACAGTATTTGCAACATTTAATACATTTATTACTCGTCAGAATATTTATAAACATCGCGTGAGGAAATTGTAATGAGCTATGCTTCTTTATTTGTCTAAAAGTTAACATAAAGAGGGCCATCAATTTTATAAATAAATAATAGGCTCTTACTACAAAGAAACAGGTATTTGAGATCACTTCCAATCGGTTGGGCTACTGATCGTGATCAGATCTCTCCAGCTACTTTTCCACCCTCTCTGTACAGTAAATCGCATTTACAACATATCAACCTCGCTAACATGTTAAAACAGAACTAATGGACATTCGCTCCAGTCTCAGGCCGCAGGAGACGAATAATACAAGTAAAATGGTCCCATCTCCACGCTTCATTAATTTTATTGCCCCGAGGCGCTCCCAACTCAAGTCGCCGTGCGCCGCTGGCGAAAATACGCCATTATTCTATGTTGATAGTGACTTAAATTAAATAAATACAAACCATTATGTGTATGTCGGAGTGCAGTCACTTTCCTTTTGTCTATGCGACAACTGTCAAAATTTTGGCGTACTGTACTGGTAATCTTTTACATGTACTCGTAGTTGTAGCAGGGTTACAATGAGGCTTTACACTAATGTAATGGAGATATTAGCACGAAACCGTGACGGAATAATTCAGACATGGTTTTTTGTGTGTGCGCGACACAATAGGATTATTCTCCATTGATCATTGCTTATTATAAGTAGTTATAGAGGGTGCGTAACATGAAAACTAAATTTGGTTTATCGGCTATTATGGAAAGTAGGTGTTAATGTAACAGTAAATTTATGATGCGATCGTGACTTCTATAGTTTCACTAGCTTCGTGCCTATAAAGCTTAAAGTTTCTGCGTTAAAATATTCAGCGTGTTGACATATACATATAAGTATTATTTTGTGCTATTCGCTTCGTTAGGTACTTTAGATAGGTTGTACTAAACAAATCTTGGAAGCTACATAGGTACATATATATTTTATTCAGTAACAACAAAGAATTTCTTTAACAAACAAAAGGTAATGAGGGGTAAGTGGGGGTTATCAGGCCGTAAACTGTTAGGCCGCGAGTCGGCGGAGCGCGGCGAAGGCTGGCTGGAGGAGGAGGCAAAAGCTCTCACAATACCCTCCACTACTAATGTTTACTCAACTCCAAGTGCGACAAAGGGCCGGAACTATTGTTTGTTGGAAAAGCTTTATTTCGCTACCCTCAACGCTTGCCGTGACAATAGCTTACCCAACTTAAAAATGTATTATCTCACTCGACGTTAGAAAAGTATGAACAAGCCGCTGAAATTAAGAATATGCCAGAACACGATTAAAACAGCTTAAAATGTCTTTCAAGGTAACTAAAATGAGGTTTTTATGTGAGAATTGAGTATTGAAAAGACACTTTGATTTTAACCATACAATATACAATAATACTCGTAACTACAATAATATTAATAAATAATGCTTATATATAAAATAGAAATATGAAGTTAGAAAAACAAAAAATCATTTATATTTTTCTTAAATTTTCAACGATGATTATGGTTAAGTTACTGGTTCTGATAAAACAATTAAGAACTTAATTTAAAAAAAAAAGTGTTGACTGGCATATCCTCATAAATTCCATTTCCTTTCAAAGCAGGGGCGCTGGAGAGTTGAAAATTATCCTTTTCATGAACGACCTTAAGCATAATAGAGAAAGCACTTAAGCCATTTTCTCCGCCTTTGAGTGGCGTAAGCGCGGCCGTTTGCTGGGGCTACATCTCGTGAGCTAGAAAATCAGTCATTATAGTCGAGTGTAGTCGGTTTCATGTGTTCACTATAGCGCAGGGGGCGGGCTGTTGGCTAACATTTTAACCTAATATGACTATTGGGTGGCGCTAACAGCAATTAGGGTACATATGAGCAAATGGATTGAGTATTAAAGCGGACAGGGATTGATTTATTGCCTAATACTTGAACATGAATCAGATATTCAATTTATACGAATGTTTGTGCTAATAGCATTCTATAAAAGATGAAGTAAGTAGTTAGTTAGAAATATTCACCACCTGGGACGATACAGTCATTACGGCCATGAATATAAAATCAGTACAGTATTAAAATACTATCAGTAGCGTGACCTGAAGTCGATTGCTTGCCAATAAAATATAAGGTATTCTTGTAAAATATTTATAGTTTTTCAGAAATGACACGAGTCAAATTTTCAATAACTGAAATGAAAACTCATTTCCCACAACTGGAAAAGTCTGATGTCACGCGATTGAATAGCTTATGTAAGTATATTCGATTTTCTTTTTTATTCTTGTCGAATACTTTCTTGTATTGGATATACATGATCTTATATTAAATTCATGTCCCTTAGAATCACGGCTCTTTATATCGACGTCATGTTTTTTGATATTCCTTCACGTAAAAGATCACATCTGTTAGTGGCCGAGCATCTAGGTACCGACCTATGAATAATAAATGTGTCGAGCTGGCCGATTGGGGAAATTGAATTTTATAGTTGGTAACACATTCGAGGACAGATGTCACAAAATGGCTGCTCGCCGGCGGCTACGTGGCGCGTAATCGAAATGTCAAATAGAAATCAAAATTAGGTCGATTGTAGTGTTAATAATTAAATAATGATGGGCTGGATGGCGGTCGCCGGCATTTGTACGCATTAACGGGGGTCTACACTTCATTTATAATGGGTAGGGAAGGTGCGAGCTTCATTTTGATTAACAGAGTTATTTCTGTTTGGATGGACAATTATCAGTCCATTATTTTGAGTACACAAAGACCGAATTCCCATTAAATTATAGATCGCTATTCAAATTACATTAACTACCCATTGATACATGTACACATGGTTTAGTTAACAACATGGTCTAGTATTATATATTTTATCAATTTTAGGTACTTTATACCTTCGTTTAGGGCAGCATTACCTAAATTTTTTATACATTAGAAGTGGAACTCTGTGGAACAAATTTCTAATATCTCAAAATGTTATTGCTATTATTACTATCTGTAAATTTTACAGTAGTTACAGGTATGTCATGATTTTATTACGTACTTCAAAGAGGAGTCATCAGGAGAAGGATTGAGACAACTACAACAAAGCTTTTTCGAGCGGTAGATATTTATGAAACGAAAGCCTGTTGCCGAATGTTTAGCAAAAGGAAAAAAGGATCGCACTGCCAAGTACCTGAATTCATCCTATTATATGAGCTCTTGCAAACTTGTGCGACAGCTCGCATTTCTATGTAAGAGCTTAATGGACTTGGATAACATACAATTGAGAAATGTCCCTATTTTTATTTGTATTTTATCGAACTGACCACTACATGGTTTGACGTCCTGTCGTGGATAGTTTTTCTTATTTTTTTATTATCATTTTAATAATGAAAGCATAGAAAGTCTACTTTAAAATTAACGTTTATTTAAAGTTTACCTATTTAGTGGGCATCAAGACAATGTCGTAGCCATTTCGTAGCACACAAGGTAGTAATTTCAAATAATTACATTCTGAAACGGTATTACAAATACAATCTTCAATTTAACTACAGCAGTATCGAATAACAATACGAAATTCAATTTGCCTTACTGCTGATATATTGTCCTTAATTGATTTCCCCTCAGTGCTTCCCACCCTACTGCTTTCAGAGTTAGATAAATTTGTGCTATCCGTTTACATCATTAAATTTTATTAGTAGCAACACAATAGCGGAGCCATCCGTGCATCTAAGGAGAGAGAAACTTTTCCGACGTCAATGACGTCCCCGGCCAATTCATATTTCCTCTTGGCGCGAATTAAGCAGGCTATTAAGTTGGCTTTCAGACGTACGACGTATCATAAAGCGAGTGCTGACAATGGCATTGTATTCACATAAATATTTAAACAGTTTGCGAATAAATAGGCTGTTTGAATGTATTTGCCAGCGTAAATACGTATCCTTAAAGTGCTATCGATTTCCGTAAGAAAAAATCTCTACAGTCATTTAGACACATCACGTAATTTCCCGAATAAATTGGTAAAACAATTCAGGTTAAACATTCCCAATAATTATTGTTAATTTGTTTTTGTAACATGTATGTCCTTGGCAGAGCAAACAAACACCATGTTTACACTGCCAAGGAAGGATGAAATGCTATAAATGTACAAATGACATAATGTTTCACTTCAAGGAGTCAGTCAGATTACTATCTTTAATCTATCTACCGAAATCATTGTTCGATTAATGGATTCAATCTTAACGCTGTCATATTTTAGTTGCGACACCTAATAGAAAGATGGCGTGTGGAGCAGTTAATAGTATTACCAGTCATAATCTGTCATAAATGTCAAGAAAGCGAGGCGATGCGACGATGCTATTATTTCGAATATTATAGTTATTTCAATTGCTAGGCTAAACAAGGGGTCTCTTGGCTATTGTTACGAAAAGTGTCACGCAATCAAAATTTGTAACAGTGAGATCTTTCTCGTTATCTCAAGACTAACAAACTTGAATTACTTCGGTTGATCGATTATTATTATTCTACGCAATTATTATGGTCGGATATTATCAATAACTAGCTGACCCGATAGACACTTGTCATGTTCAATTTTGTTAGTTAATTACGTTAGATTAACGATTTAAAATACTTTTTTTCATTTTTAGGGTTCCGTACCTCAAAAAGTAAAAAAGGAACCCTTGTAAGATCACTTTCTTGTCCGTCTGTCCATGTGTTACCAACGATTTTCTCAGGAACGGGTAGACCTATCAAGTTGAAATTTATACCAGATACTGAGGTTTATGGTCCCTCTTAAGTGTATAAAAATCAAGGTTCTGAGTCAACACGATAAAAAGATATGGGCAAATTTCGATTTTCGGGAAAACATCTTAATTTTCAACTTTTTTATTTTTCAGAATTCTCTCTTTACTTGTGCTGTAAGACCTTGCTTTTAACCAAAATTGACAATTCTAGGTGAACCGGGAGTACGCTATAGGTTTTGGGTCGAAAACCTATATGGTAGTTCCCGTTGACCTAGAATCACGAAATTTGGCAAAAAGAAACGTCTTTCAGCAACAAATAAAGGAATAATTAGAAAAAATAAAAATAGTTAAAAATTACGATAAATTTTCATACTTACAAATTATAGCGAAAATCTACGTAAAATCTGGGTAGGTACGGAACCCTCGGCGCACGAGTTCGATTCGTACCTGACCGTTTTTTTTATGGAAGAGGGAGCAAACGAGTAGATGGTCCGTCACCTGATGGAAAGCGACTAACGCCGCCCTTGAATCACAGGAGCCCAGGAGCCACAAGCGCTTTGCCAGCCTTCAAGAAAGCCAGTAAACAGATTTACGTAAAATTTACGTCATGTTGTATCACAAGTTACGTAAGATGTAAGTCACATATGAGTCATATATGACTCAGTATTACATACCTCCTGACCAAAAATACAGAAGACTCATTTAAGTGTTCCTCTCCACGAAAACCTTTAGTAAAAGGCGCAAGATTTATACGTTATGAAGGGAAACCAGTTTGCATGAAATTATAAAGGCGCCGTAATAAACCTGCATGAGTAACGAAACCATCTCGCAACTCAAAAACTGGTAGCACGCCATTTATCGCCATCGCCATTTATATAGTTGTCATAACCACTTAGTTATTTGGTTTCAATATGAACGAATTATAGCCTATTCAACAGTATTTATAATTAAAGCTTTAATTATCAAACAATCAAACACAAAATTCTATTTTTAATTCGTTTAAGAAAAGGAAATGCCTGGAGACTTTCAGGCTTAAGATACTTTTTCCTTAAATTTGCAAGAAGTTGACCTCCAAAATGTTTTTAATACACCGGTATTGGATGCTGCATGCTTTTAAGATTAGATATTTATGTCTAAACATTTTCGTTTAATTATTACGGGACTATAATATCTTCTTCTTTGATAATATGTATCATAATATATTTCAAAGATAATGTTTCACTACTTTTCAAAGGTATTCCTTTGGATTTGATTCTTAGGCTTAGGCTGTAAAAAATCTCCATTTCATTCCAATAAAAAAGACAATCAAAGTTTGTTACGATTCCGAAATTAAAAGGGTCGAAAAAAGTAAGTAACTAACGTCACACATATTATAGGGAGAGGACCTAATATTTATGTTATATTTAACACAACTCGTGACCTAAAATTACCTAAAAGTGGGGACTTTTGTATTACATACGAATATGATAGCATGATTTGGCATTTTTACGTTATAACCTGACGTGTTACCTTATGTAATCATATGACTTACTAATTACATTAATAAACACTAATAACTCCAATATGACTTCATAGCATAATGAAAATACGATATAATATGTACGTAACAGTTAAGTCATACAAATGACATATCAAGTCAAAATTGATGTAATGTATAGAATAGAATAGAATAATGTAATGAAACTATTCACATACTTTTTATAAGTTCGTAAAAACTGTTTTGGTAACCGGTAAAGACTTATTGCGAATTGTGTAAAGCGCATTTTGTAGATAAGTAAGAAGTGGATAATGCCTAGCTGAATTATTACCCTCTTAAATAATAAACCTTTTTAATCTTTCGTAGCTTTGGTACAGGTTTATCACTTTTAGCAACTTTGTTCCTTAATGTCGATACTGAAACTAAGTAATTTTGTTTTTCTCAATTCCACCCGGCATACATGCGGTTTTTTTTTTAAATTATATAGTTACCCTATAATTTAAAAGCGAAGCTTGTCAGAACATGGTTTGAAAATAATATGGGATATCACCATGTCTTTTTTTTTTAAAAGTTTTTTAGATTTCGCTAGAATTTTTGACAGTATAATAAATATAAGAGTTCTTGGTTTGTTCATTTCACAACTAAAAACATTTAGTATGTATGATATTTTATATTCAGGTTAACAGCCAGAAATTAAAAGAACAAGCAATATGTCAATGGAAGCATGGCTCCACAGTTGGGCGTAGATTAAACCCTTATGATAGGTGCCCCGTCCAGCTTGGTTACTTGCTGCAAACGGTTAGCGGCTTGAGTGCGCCACGTCTCAATATCAGGTTGAGCTTCCATGATTGGGTTGCCAATGAAAACCAAGTCTCTCAATGCGGGACACTCCTGTAATTAAATGAATCCTTAGCTTTTGCTTGAAGGCCGGATGGCGTAGTGGTTTGTGTGACGGCGGACTGCGAACCCAAAAGGTCACGGGTTCGATGCCCGCACACTTCAAACATTTGTATGCGTAAACATTTAATGTTTTATTTGGTTTGGGTGTTTCTAGGTATAAAATATATGTATTTAAAAAACAAAGGTAGATAATTATGTATTTATATCAACTGGCTAGTACTCATTGTACAAACTCTGTTTAGTTTAGAACTAGATGGCATTGTGTGAATGTGGTAGAATATATTTTTATTAACATGCGTGCGCTTAGATCTTTCAAACTCAACGGATTTCAGTGCGGTTTTCATCAATAGAGAGATGAGATTTTCAAGAGGCAGGTTTATAGATATAAGTACTACTACATGCATATTGTAAAATTCGTGAAAAATTTGTACTCGTGAGTCGGCGCCTGAGTCGTCTGCGGTACCTGTCCCGCTCCTGGGCCTGGCAGATCGAGAGTTCTAAATCTTTCCCGGTCCCACTCCGCTGTCTCCCTTGTAAGCATAACTTGCTCAAAGAAGGACACGGCAGAGTTTCACCCGCCCTCGTGCCAATCCTCCATAACGGGTCTTACCGCCGCAATAACAGCGTGCCCAGCGCTTGGTTGCCCAAGTCGTTCCTTCCACTCTCACCATGAGGACCTGCTGGAGTTTGAATTTCCGATCCTCGATTTCTCGAGTCTCAGGACTCCGACCCAACTTGCGCCACTAATACAGAGCCCATGGGTGAGTTCCGGCCAGGAGACTCGCCACCGCAAAGGAGATCGTGCGATACCCCCTTATGACCCTGACAGACAGCACTCGCGGCGGTCGTCGTAGTAGTAGTAGACCGACGTTGCTGGCCTTCAGGGCATCCGCCTATAACACTATCGACACCCTAAGATGTCTAAAAATATGTGTAGTATTGAAAAATTTATGTGTTGGAGTATTTTTAACGTTATGTTACGTATAATCTTAAAAATAATAAATATAATAATATTATATGAGGTACGAACCTGTAGTCTATTAAATTCTACCCACTCCTTTACATTATTATTAGCCATATACAAAACTGACAATTTTTTTAAAGCACCTATGCCTCTGAGCTTGTCTACTGGGTTGTAACTCATCCACAGTTCTTCAAGTGTATCTGCCACTGTTTCCTAGGGACCAGAATTACTTACTGTACTCGTATTAAGTATTATAATAATTAAAAGTTATATATCTTTAATGTAAATAGGAACTCTGTGTAAAAAGAAACAGTACCTTAGAGCACTTAAAAATATTGTAGAAGTGTAAGTCATCGTCACATATAATTTAAAATAATCAGCCTACTTTTTAACTCTCGCTCGTCAGTTAGCTTGGCCAGCAGTTAACTCTTTTACCTGTGTCCTTCAGTTTCACCCACTTATAAGTTTTGGATGAACAAGATTTGAGAAATATCCAAGGAAATTGTTATGAATAAAAAGTACAGAAAGTGAAAACGAATGCACTGTTGTTAAATTAGTTGTAGTAAATAAGTGCTTACCACGCCAGCCAATGATTTAATGTAGTTGCGACCAATTGATAGTATTCTAAGATTTTTCATGCCGGCAATACCAGCTATTTTGTCAATCATGTTTGATGATAGACTTAACTTTCTGAAAATGATTTTTTATTTATTATTTGTAGGTTAAGCTTCGAATGAATTTTTAGTTTGAGTTTCGGAATGCCTGCTTTAAAGGAAATTATAAAGGAAGTTGTATTTCTGTCAGAATTTTAGATCAATGCCTAAAAGGGGTAACAATTCTTTTTGTGAAGGTATAATAACCTTTTTTGTTCTGCCATGTAGTTTGTCGGACACGTACCGACTAAACCACACAGTGTTCTGTCACGGGGTCCTAATGCCGGGAACTGGGGTCTAACCTATTCGAGCTTCACTTGATTTTTTGTTACTTACTCGCAGGCAGCCAGCGTTGATAGAGCTCCATCCATCTTTTCTATGGGAGGCCATTGAAATTGGAGTTCGACCACTTTGGCTTCGGTGCTATTTTCTCCTTTCGCCTTCTCCCACCGAGTTATAGCTTCTTTGCAGGTGGTAGGTTTTGGTACGGCCATTTGTCAAAGATCAAATTTGTTTAATATAAAAACTTCTTCAAGCTTGTACGATTACGACGAAATTATTGTGTCGTAACGATAAACAAAAAAACATACAATAAACACTACTAACTCTTACAAAGAATAACTACAATAATCTTTTATTGATTTAGGTATATGATATAATGTTCAATCCATTCAAAGCATCTATTCGATTTTTGACATTGATTAGCTACAGTTACTGTTCGAATTTCAATTTAGTTTTATTTTTGTGATTGGATCAAAGAGGTCTATAGTTCAATCGCGCAAAAAAAATCAATAGTGAGGTTGGGCTTTTGACTCAAAAGCCTTTAATAAGATAGCAATGAAATATTAATCTTTGATTTAGATGCACAGATGGTGGTGTACATAATGTGTTTTCAGATAAAGCTGACTGGCTGGCTAGGTGAGTCAGCCTAGCTTTATCCAGAATTACAGAAGCCTCTGTCAGAGCCAATTAAGACTGCCTGGATTTCAGGTAAATTGATTTTAAGCCCTCCTGCATTTCTCAACTCCATTGTCTTATTTCAAAACGAAGTTGGTTGAATTATAGTGGCAGCGTTGTGGTTGGACCTGCCATGCAAAGACATAATAACAAAAGTAGTTTAATTTATAAAATCTTCTAATATCTTAGAATTAATACGTGCGGACACTATAAAAAACTTTATGCCAACCGTATAGCTGAGGTTAAGGCTCTAATGTCTTCGGTAATGAATACATAATAATATTGATTTATGTTAATTACGTTTAGGTTATATTAACTGCGTTAAATGTTCTGAAGTCAATATAGTTCGAACTTCAAATCTTGTACCTTTTAACAAACACTTGAACTTGTCGTGGTCTAAATATGATGCCCATTTCCGTCGAGAGACTATCTGTGGACCAGGGAGTTCGCTTTACCGATGGTTGATCAGTAAACTGTAGGTTTGGTTTTTATTTCCTAAATTTGGAGGGAACTAAGTACATTCTGAAATACCAAAGAAACCGGATTAACGAACGTGACACTTGAACTTTAAATATTTGGTTGTTTTCTGATTTTGGTTATTTTTAAACCAACGACTTCGACTTCGTTCGCGTAGTACGGTACGCGGCTGCAGTCCATGAGGCCTCGGGTTCGACTCTCGCACAAGGCAAAAATTTATAGGGTTTTCCTGAAAGGAAAAATAGCCTTATATAGACAGCTACCTGGTAGTAAAATATTTTCAAAATGGGTCCAGGCGCTTTGAAGATTACCCGAAACAAACAGACAGACAAAAAATATTTAAACTGGTTTTTGGCATAGATATCGTGTAAATATTCATTCAATAATTTTCGACATTACCACAGACACTTCAATTTTTTTTTTGTATGTATAGACTAGGTAACTGTGCCTCTGGATTCACTCGTTTTCCTTATAGGTATACTACTTGTTAAGTACTATACCATACTTGTAAGTATGGTATAGTACTTAACAATTAATCCATACTGTTCTGCATTTGCTCGATAGCCCTTGACTACTTAATCTGGTTCTTTTGTATAATCGTTCCAAATTCACAGGTCTTACGTATTAAAGAACTCCCTGACAAAGTTCAAGTATCTTTAACACAACGGCCACTAGATAAAACTCAGGGAATACTAACTTGCGAGGCTTTAGACCCCTTGGTCTACTCCTCATGAACTACTTTCTTGGCAAATCTAAGTGCCCTATCCATCGCGTGATAGACGGGGCCAACACATGCGACTTCGACATTGCCTGGGAATTGTGACTCAGGTATAGGTTTAAGGAGTACTCCTTGCGACGCGTCAGCGCTCACCTCGACTGTCTGCTGTGTTACTCCCTCTGCCTAACCATATTTGATACGAGCCTAGCAATGCGGCTTTGGATGTTCGTTCAAGAAAAGAGCTTACTGAACCTCTGTCCACTGTTTAACTGGTATACTCCTCGCACCCACTTCCACGGCATACAACGCAACGACATAACTATTTTTAGTTATTTCTTTGGTTAAGTTAAAGTTTTAAAGCGTGGTCTTTAGGGATGTTCGTTTCCCACGGCACCGTGAGTTCTACTAGTACTAGGTACACATAAATCAGTAAATAAGTGAGTCAGTGAATATAGTTCTTTTTATTTAAAATTTTTGTTATAAATGTTAAAATCTAAAGATTATTAAAAAATCGTTTGATAATGTCATTGTATATATAGAGTCGTATTCTTTAATGTAGTAATATCTTAAATAATCTTTAAATTTGCACCGACAGTGGTCGTTATTTATACCCTTATGATAGGTGCCCCGTCAAGCTTGGTAATTTGCTGAAGACGGGTAGCAGCTTGAGTGCGCCAGGTCTCAACATCAGGTTGAGCTTCCATGATTGGGTTGCCAATGAAAACCAAGTCTCTCAATGCGGGACATTCCTGTAATTAGATGAAATCTTAGTTTCCCTAATATGTGTTCACTTTGCTTAAATGTAGTACCTACACATTTCGCTGTTTGTCTGTATGAACAAAATTGAGTCGCTTTCAATCAGCCGATTAATATTAAAATTTTCATCTTTATTTTAAGCATGGAGGTATATAAATATATTAATCAATAGAAGTCATATACTAGTAGTATCTAAAAGGCCTCCCTGAGCAATCGTGGGAATTTATTTTATTGGGCTAATTCGTAATGCCTGCAAGCATGCTGTTCATCAAGCCTGTTGCAAAATATATTTTTAAGGAACATCTCCCGCACTAGGAATATATCCTGTGTCGCGGGGGACTTCACAACCATACATGAAACGGACACACAGAACACCCAGACTCAGAACGACAATTTGAAGAACACACAAAGTTTCGTACCATGTGACCGCTTAAACCACTACGCCATCCGTGTAGTCATAAAATAAAAACAATATATACTAAGGACTAACCTGTAATCTATTAAATTCTGCCCATTCCTTTACATTATTATTAGACATGTATAGAACTTCTAATTTTTTTAAAGCGCCTATTCCCTTGAGCTTATCTATGGGGTTATAACTTATCCACAGTTGTTCCAGCGTATCTGCCACCGCATCCTAAGGAGTATATTACTTTTAAAATACAACCATATATGTATTATGTTAACGCCACGCCTCTGATAAGCAGCTCGCACTTTCTTAAGGCCTTTCATACAAGTTTATATGCTTTTGAGAAGGCTCTTCCTCAGTGCACTGCTGGTCTGTTCAGTAAATGTCTTTCAGATCATCAGATAATTAAAATAATTTGTTTAGATTTTAGCATTTAACACATAATTTAAATCTCACATACATACACTCACGTTTTTATCCTCAAAGGGGGTAGACAGAGACATATTAACGCATTATGCCGACTTTAATTCTAGCCCCACTCACGCAATAGGGGCAAATCTATTACTGTCAACCACACATAGTTTTGTAGAGCTTCTAAGTTTTGTAAACACAATATTTTCCCTGGGAATCGAACCCGTGACCTCCAGCTTAGAAATCAGGATCTCTAACCACTAGACCAACAAGCCAGCATCTTGATTAAATGCTTGATAAATTATTTAGTATTAACATTTGACGCACAGATAGCGTAGTGGTTAAAGCGGTCACCTCGCCGCTTCGTACTACGCTGAGTGTTGTGGGTTCGATCCCACGGGACAACACTTTGTGTGATCCACAAGTTGTTGTTCAGAACCTGGGTGTTCTTTGTGTCCGTTACATGAATATTTGTAAAGTCCCCCGGGAAACAGGACATATGCCTAGTGCGAAAGTTGTCTTTAAAAAAACAATGTATTTAATTTTAATAATGGAACGATTCAAATGACTAAATTTCCTTTCACAATAAATACGTCTTTTTTTTGGTGATGGGGTGGAAAATCCATTCGGATCTCTGGCTACTGGGGGACGCAGGAGCCTGGAGTATGTGGTGTTTCCACTAAAACCACCCAACGGCCAGCTGGCAGGACGACCCGGACCATGAAATTTCAGGTCCCCCGGATCGACGTGGCACTTACTAAACCCTATCCCAAGGGAAGCCAGAGATTTCCAACCGTCTATATAGGGGCCCGATTGGTCCACCATACCACCAGAGGTCCCCATTCTGTGGTAGTCTGCGGCCCCGTCGACGGCTGATATCGTCGCCGACGTCCTCTACGCTCGGGATCGGCCCTCTTCCGATCCAATTCAGCGGTCTCTTTCTGGAGCATTACTTTAATTCCTTAATTTAATACCTACACTTGATCTGTTCTCACAAACAGCGATTAACGTGTTTCTAGTATTATAATTGTGTACGAGTACCTATATAAACGTTCATTACTTATATTGTAAAGCGTGCTTTAAGTCGCTCAAAATATAAATTAACTATGTATTGAACTAAACGTGGGGATCAGTAATTGGCTTGCTGTTGCAAACCTCTGCGCTAAGCAAACTTGTCAAAGCTGTTGGTCCTCCAAGTTATAAATAAATAAATTACAGCTTCACAGAAAGAGACCACTGCGCCCCAGCCCTCCTCATCCGCCAGCATGGTAGCAATGATTGCTGGCGGGTCTCATCCGATTTGGTCGACCAGGACCTCGCGTTCAGACAGGGCAGTCTTCCAGCGTATGTTGGGCGGAGTACCAGACGGCTGCGCAGTGTTGGCATTGTGTCGTCTCTTTGCTTCCAATCCGATTCAGGTACTCACCGAAGCAACCATGCCCAGTGAGTACCTGCGTCAGTCGGTAGGTGACGCGACCTCCCTTCCTACCTACCCAAGCCAAGAGGATAGGCAGAACAGCACCGACTGCCCGTTGGCGCGCATGCCGCGGCTGTTGCAGCCGCGCGCGTCACTGCACCTGTACCTGTCAGTGAGCGTTCCGCCGCATTTCGAGCTCGTTTTGGTCTTCCCCGCCCTCACCAAGGCGGATCGCGCAAGTCTGGTCATAGACCCTCGCGTCCTTATCCGCCAACAATAATTCATCATCATCACATCAACAGCCTTTAGTACTCCACTGCTTAGAAGGGAGGTTTTGGCCTACTATACCACGCTGGCCAGACGGGTTGGCATAGGGTTTGTATCAAGTTTTCCTTCTCTTTGCAGTGCTCTTATCCTGCGTAGTTTGCCCCCTTAGTTGGCTCTTACGACACCCACAGGATGAAAAGGGTGGTGACACTCCGTAATCTTAATCTCACACCACTCGTCACCACACCACACAACAATAATTACGTCTAATAAATATATTTCTAAATAAATGTACAATAATTACTTGTTTCCAGCTTTTTTATTTTTAATTTACACAGAAAACCTAAGCGTGAGCGGATGATGCCCTGCCCTCGTTATTAGTAGGAATACAACAATATTCAAGTGGAACTGTTCTATTCTAGTTCTTAAGTTTTCTTTTGAATTAAGGTACTACGCCAAACTACCAATAGAGTAATAAAATACAGTAAAATGTCACTAATGACTTGGTTTACAAAACTGACAAGACTGTCTTATAGCAGCGTCAACTGAATTGTGTTTCGTAGTTCCCTAAATACCTAGACAGTTAGAGAATTTTTCAAACATTCTTACCAGTCCAGCCAGTGACTTTATATAATTTCGACCTAATGATAATATTTTAAGGTTCTTCATGCCTGCAATACCAGTTATTTTGTCTATCATGTTTGACGATAAACTCAATTTTCTGAAAATGGAATATCAGGTACTGAGTTTAAAGTATTTAGATTATGGAAGGAACTAGTATATGAAGTATGAAAATACGAATACAAATATATATTATGAAGTCGTAGGACCTAGTATGAAGGACAAACACGGGATGAGCAGCATGGGTATAAATAAATCTTTATGTACATTCATTTGGGCGTAAATAGAAGTCAACATGGCCTTTTTGCTTTCAACACAGGAGGCAAACGCCATCGGTCCGCACCAATTGACAGAATCTACGAATCGTAGCAGTGTGCGAAACCCCTAGGACATAGTTTCCTTGTAGCGGTCGAGTTCAACAGTCATGGTAGAAACTGCCTCGCTTTCTTTGATTATCTAAACAACCACCTAGTACGGCAGTGATTTCTTTTTAACGTAATCACTCCGGATTTCTAGCGACATGCTAGAACTACAGCCGACACATAAAATGTTAAACAAAGTGATATGGAAATGGAACTTACTCGCAGGCGACGAGAGTAGATAGAGATCCATCCATCTTTTCTATGGGAGGCCACTGAAATTGCAGCTCAATTACTTTAGCTTCGGTAGCGTTTGCACCATTTTCCTTTTCCCATAGAGATATAGCTTCCTTGCAGGTGGTTGGTTTTAAAGCCATTACAGATTTTTAATAAAGTTTTTGTATACAAACATTTACGTTAGTTACGATGTTGTAATTTTGTTCTTTGAACATCGGTCACCGAAGTTTTTCAAGGGCCATTTTCAGATTAAATTAATAGCTTTATGTGTAAAATCATTGCGCACATAGCGAAAGATGTATTTTTGAGGTTGTTGATCATGAAAGAACGATTTGTTTACATTGAACTTGTGACATTTTTCTTACCGATTCTAAGCATAAACTAAAATTGTGTCTAAAAAGTATAATTGTAATCATCGAGATAAATATTACCTCTATATAGCCTCACCAGAAATAATAAACTTAGGTGTACACACAATTACCTTTTATTGCAACAAAAGTGTAATAGTCGGTCGCACTCATCTAAATTGGCAAACGTAAAATGTACCTATCTCATTGTTAAAATTATTTTAAATTTATAATCATGTAATTATATATAATTTTATTTTATTTGTTAGTTGTTGCATGTTTTCTTTTAATTTGTTATAAACTAGCGGGCTGTTCCAGCTGAACCGCGCAGCTTCGTCCGTTTCTTTCATACATTTTGCCCGATCTTGAAACATTTTTCATTGATGCATAGCTCCTATTATTCGTAGCGTGACGTTATATAAACTATAGCCTACCAAATACTTAAATAGTTAATACTTAATAGTCGGTTTAACTTATTAAAAAAATACAAACTCTAAACTAGACCTTACCCTTAGACAGTAATCCACGAAAATCAATTGCCACTTAAAGACTCAATGTCTTTAAGTTAAGTACTTGGCATAAAAAGTAATTTAACTATTTTGTTCTTCTTTGGTTATTCCTTTTGTTTCTTAGTTTTTTACTTTACTGTTCAAGCTTTCCATATTATGTTAATTTCGTTTTAATAAAGGCAATTTCCAATGCTAGCAAAGCACTCTAACATAGTGCGACTTTCGCAAGAAGTGAATAGTTTTTCTTTAATAACACTAGGCAACACTCAAAATTTCCCGGGCCCCGGAATAAATTCATTGCGTAGGTATTTGGTAGATAATCATGCCCCTAATACCAGAAAAATAACCATTTATCTCAATTCCGTATAGAAAAGGATTTTGTTGTCCGTTTTGATGGTTTTATTGGTAAATTGTTTATTATTAATTTTAAGTTGTTTATTATTTGTTTGGTATGGTGATTATTATAGTTTTATGAATTTCAAGAGAACTAAATGTTTACTAACAATATATATACCTACATTGTATTGTTAGTAAACGTTTAATTTTATCGATATGTCTAAGTATTGTGTTGATACTTCTGATTTGTTTTGTTTGCGTTCTATACTCGCCAAAACGTCAACAGAAACGTATAGGCCAGTCTGTCTATTTTGAGCCCCATGTTAATTTATCTCTTCCCTGTATCTCGGAAGTGTTTGTAAAAGATTTCAATAGCTGATTTAAACAGATTGAATCGTATTCAATAGTTCTATAACTTTGTTTAAACTTTTTAGGGTTCTATACCTCAAAAGGTAAAAAAGGAACCCTTAAAAGTTTAATAATAATATCACTTTCTTGTCCGTCTGTCCGTCTGTCCGTGTGTCACCATCGATTTCTCAGGAACGGGTAGACCTAGCAAGTTGAAATTTATACCAGATACTGAGGTCTATGGTCCCCATTAGGTGTATAATTTTTTCTTTTATACACCTAAATTATACACCTAATTACCACCTTTTTGACCGTTTTTTTATTTGATGTCGCCATTACAAATTGCAATGGAAAAACTGTTTTTGGCCAACTTTGGGCCCAATTAACTATGGGATGGGCATGATGTCAGTAGCTTGTATTTTCGTTCATTGAATTCTACGGAAATTTCCGATTGTTTACATATTTTTGTTTACTGTATCTCGACTTAAGGGTCAAAATCCTTAGAAAGACCAGCCTGGTATTTGACCTTTGATAATCAAGTGTTATCGTGCATATTTTGGTTTTGACATTCCCAAATAAGACAAATATTGAGTTCCACATACGTGTTGTACTTCTTGCCGTTAAAAACAGTCGACCCATGCTTTGACGAGAACCAAAGCATAAAACTTAGCCACTGAGGATAGGACTTATAAACTAGGCCAGAAAAATATAAAAAAGTATCCATTAGTAGATAAAAAAAGACTTTTTTTATCTACACATTAAACTAGGAATTATCAAAAACTTTGTCAAAGCAATGAATAAAGAGGGTACAGATTTTATGTAGATATTTAAGACAAACGTTTTCTGCTTATATACTAAAATTAAAGAAGGTGTGTTCATTAGGCCAGAAGTGAGAAACTTAATAAAAGATCTTCAGTTTATTTCAATTGTAAACACTGAAGAAAAGAATGCTTGGTTAGCGTTTGTTGAAGTCACAAACATTTTTTTGTGAAATCGTCGGTCACCCCAATATGAAAGCCATGTAAATAAATTGTTAAGTACTTGTAAAGAACCGGGCTGAAATATTTCACTAAAAATACCCTTGCACTTGCAGAAAATCTAGGTGCTGTGAGCGATGAGCACGGTGAGCGCTTTCACCCAGACATTGCCTTAATAGAGAAGCACTATCAAGGGAAATGGAACCCTGTGATTTGCTTGCAGACTGCTGCTGGTTTTTGATAAGGGAGACCCAAACCTCTTTTTACAAAAGACAGGCCAAAAGAAACAATAGTTCATTTTATAATCATAATTAATTAATTTATTATAAAATATCATCAGATGGAATCAGTAAAAAATAAAGATCAATTCCTCTTAAAAGACATACGCGACTGAGAAGATTTATTTACTGTCCTAAGTTCCCTTTAGTATGGTGATCTTGAATTACTTACTCAGATCTCTGATTGAAAAAAGGCATTTTTTTAATGCCTAATGTAATGTTAATGTTAGGAATTTTAACATTTATTTGAACATATACAGCTACTTAGTCTTAACCTTCAGCCCAGTCAACCTTATTCGGAGAATTCCTTCGATCATGAGTTTTAGATCTACGCACATAAAAACAGAAATATGAAAAATAAGTCCAATGGTTATTACCATTGAACGTTTACAACACACAACCGATTATTTAAACTTAGGTACTTTTTCGATGGTCTGACCTTTAGGACCGGTATAATTATTAAAAAGCATTTTCCATTTCAAATGTATATTTTGAAGCTAAATTACAAAAACATTACGTTAGTGGCTGCTTAAACCTTATTTATGGGTTCACCGTCGAGCATAGTTATCTGCTGAATATGTTTGATCGCATAAGTGCGCCAGGACTTAATGTCAGGTTGAGTTTCCACTAATGGGTTGCCAGTAAAAAAAAAGTCTCTCAATGCTGAGCATTCCTGTAATCAATTAATTTAACTTTTTCTAATTAGTTTTAATAAATGCGACCTGTTTGTCTTTTAAGTCCAAAGTATAACGTTCGCAGGTGTTTGTATTCTAATATAGAACATTATTGTGATTTAAATTGACAAGGAACTCGATTGATAAGAAGTACTGCGTGTAGTATTTTCGCTCTAGAGAGTGCAATTCAGGCATGCTCTATGTTAGAAAAGAGCACTCTCAAGTCTAAATACTATGACTAGGGATTCGTAATACTATAACATACTATAAACAAATAAACAATTGTTCTCCTTGAACATATGCATTACTTAGTATCTGAAACTTAGTCATGACACGTTTGAGCTTGTAAGTTACGTTTTGCTCTTATAATTTGGCAAGGTGCTAAGTTTTACCTTATAAATTTGATTGTTTGGAAAACAATTGACATACATTCACTGTTTTCTATTTTTCCCTTTGTATTCATACAATTAACTAGCTAGATGGCAACTCTGTTCCTATGAAGGTCATTGGCAATTGGCCCAGGGGTAAGATTTTCATCTAAATGTTAGTCAATCAGTCATAAAAATATCGCTCATGTCTAGATGTTGTCGGAAGACTCGTTATTTGTTTGTAATTTATTTACTCCAAAACAATTAGTCTTAGGTACTTTCTCATTCTTTTTAATAAGGTGGCTATTTCGTTCATGTCTTAGTAGCTTTTTAATGTTAGTATCGATGTTTTACTATACATAGGTATATTATAGTGATATACAACTATGAACTCAAGAGAATCACCTGATTATTTTCACTTCGATACAGATAACTGTAAATTATTGAATGCAAACTGATTTCAAAGAATTCAGATCAATTGCAAAGACCTGACTTTGATTGGGTTCTACATGAATCCGAAGTACAATTAAAAATTAGCAACAAGTTGGTACAAACCTGCAATCTATTCAATTCAGTCCACTCTTCGACATGATTGTAGGGCATGTAAAGAACTTTCAATTTTTTTAGACATCCTACACCTTCAAGATTTTTTAAGCAGTTGTAACTTATCCAAAGTTGTTCCAGCGTGCCAGCTACTGCTTCCTAAGAAACTTATCATTGTTATATCATTAAAAACTAAGGAAATATAATGAAAGTCTAAACTTCTGCTTCTACTTTAACTGCGTATACAGATTACAAGACTGCGCTATTTCCGATGTGTAACTACTTCCTCCTAAAGATAACTATGAAAAGGCACGGAAATGTGTAACAGTCTACATATGTCTGTTACACATTGCCGTCCCTCAGTCAGATGTTAAGTAAGGTAAGCTCTGATCCGTCAGATAGTAGGTGAAATGTCAGATGTTCAGCTCGCTCGCATTTTGAGCCAGAAGTGTTTTTTTCGCATGATGCCTACAACAAAAGCACTAAGATCTTGTTTCAATAATACAATACAAATTCAATAATATAATACAATTTAGGTCAAACTTTACAATAAGAAACATTGTAATGCTTACCAAGCCAATCAAAGATTTTATGTAATTGCGATCTACCATCAGGATTCTAAGATTTCTCATGCCGGCAAGGCCTGCAATTTTGTCGATCATATTTGATGATAGAGTTAATTTTCTGAAAATTAGACGTTAGTTATTATCTGAATTTATAATGTGCTTCTGCGTCCACTATTACTGTAAGGCGCAATGAGCGAGGTTTCATGCTCCGTAGTTATTCACTGCAGGACTGCATTAATCATCAACGACGACGACCGTGAGATCAATAACATAGCAAAGCCAGCAGTTAATAAAAGAGTTTTTCTGTGGTAATATTTTTAAAACTACTATTATTTCTAACTTTTTCGTGGCAATCGTACTTACGTTACTAAATTTATGAATAATTTATTTTTTATGGTAGGTACAGGGGAGAAAACGAACAGACTGGTTACCTGGTGGGGAGTAACTATTGCCGCCCAAATACACTTGCAACTTACGAGTCACAAGTGTCCTTCTTTGTGCCCTCTCCCCAGAATCAGGCCGGGGTGGCGGCGAGACGCGCTGCGGAACGCGCGTGCGCTCTTTTGGGAGCACAAAGGGAACATTCCAGTTCCAGGGGCTTCCCACACAGGAGGGCGTCATCTACACGCCGTGGATGGCCCGCGGTACGTCGGGGTACCAGGGATTTCTTTTCTAGGGTACACCTGGTTCCCCAGCTACTTATACCCGAGACGGTGTGCGGTTTTTTGTCGGTTTGAGCTAGGGTTGCCTCACTCACTCGGTGAAAACAACGAAAGAATTGGTTAACACAGGTTTTCTGTGAAGCCGATCACTACGGTCGACCCATTTGTGCCGAAGAATATGGCTCTCCCACGTATAGTTTCATTTTTGGGCATTATATTTAATAAATTATTGTAGAAAGGAATGGTTACTATAATGGTTCTTTTAATAATGATGCAAATATTATTTGCAACTTACTCGCAGGCGACAAGAGTTGACAATGCTCTGTCCATTTTTTCGATTGGAGGCCACTGAAATCGTAGTTCAACAACTGTGGCTTCGGTGGCTTTTATATGATTTTCTCTTTCAAATAAAGAAATAGCTTCCTTGCAAGTTGTAGGTCTTAAAGCCATTTCTGATTTTATATCAAACTTTAAGTTGATTTGTTAGCATGTTTTCTTATAAGACGCTTCCGTAATTCAAAACTTTGGTCAAGAACCTACTACTGCAGTAAAAATTGGGACTGGGTGAATTTCATTACGCACATTTATGAATCATTTTAATTTTAATTAATATACTATAAAGCTTTGACTATTTAAAAAAAATTATGAATATCAATAATATTAGACACTGACATTTAGTATTGTCAATAAACGACAACGCATGGGCACTTTATAATGAATAAATTTTAATAATACCTATATAAACAGCTCTTTCTCTTATCATATTACTTTGCCCGGCAGGGTGCCTGTAAATGTCATGTTATGTTACATTATATATGTTACATTATGCAATGTAATATATTGAATTGAATACAAATAAACGATATCAATTATTATTATCTATACAATATGTATACTATTTAAACCGATAGAAAAACTTATAAATCTCTATAAAAGCATAGGTACAAATCTGAACAGAGTATATGCGTTATTTGAGAAGGGTGCGATATGGGACCGGGGTCACCGGTCGTCCCGGATGGACGGCAGTAATCACGTCGTGCCCTCACACCTCCTTTAGCCCTCCATCCCTCACAGCGTTTTCCCCGTGTACCCAAAGCGTTCGCTCACAGAATTTCAAGTATATGGATTTAGCGGTTGTTTCCCTTTCAATAGGGACGTATGCAAACAGATTATTATATACTTAGGTGGACTTGTTGGTAATTGTAAAAGCCTATTCAGGCAGTTCTATCTGTTTTTTTTTAACAGGTATGTTTACACTATGTATAAATTCGACACTAATAAAAGTTTTGAGGTAATTTTAGGAGCGAGGTGTGTGAAGCAGATGCTTCCTTACCATTTAGAAAAAGAACAAGACAAACAGGTCTACGTCATACCTGGGACAAATAAGTGACTTGATGATGGAAAGTTAAAAAAACATTTCCAGAATAATAACTAGCTAGCAGTTTGCTGAATACTATTTATAAAACAAAACTCTTCGAAAACCTCTTTACAAAATCTTTTTAAAATTATGAACTATGGACTAAATTTATGATAAATTGACAACATTGGTAAAACAATCCATTCAATAAAAATAGTAATGACATTGGACGCAAATCACTTACTGATAAAACTACCACAAATTATGACTTATGATTATTACTTTTGTCATTTGTTTTAAAGCTTGAATGTTGGCACACAATGACCGCAGTTATTTTAAAAACTAATAAAATGCTACCAACAGTATTTTCCATTAAATGTACCAATCTAAGTCTGGGTGTAATTTATCTATAACATGTATGTTTTTAGAAATATATAAGTATGGTTATCACAGTAGAGGCTCTGCCAGGTGTATGAAGTTATTATTAAATATAAAGTTTCATTATCGTGGTAGCCTAAGGATGGCGGCAAGTGTGGGCCGACTCAAGCGGCGTGATGCCTTGGCCACACAGAAAATCGGTTTTATTTCTGACAATGCTTCACCGAGTGACTGAGGTTATCGGAGGACCGACCCCCGCACTCCTAGTACTGGAAGGGGGGCACAAAGGGCGACAACGCACTTGTGGTTCTTCGAGTTGCAGGTGCATGTGTCTCGATTGCTTTTGGTCTTGGTATACTTTCGTACGGTTTATGGGCTGTCTCGTGGTCGGAACCGATGATCTTCCCTTCATATGTAAAAATTTTTTTTTAAAGACAACTCTCGCATTAGGAATATATCCTGTATCGAGGGGGACTGTACAAAAATTCATAAAACGAACATACAGACTCAGAACAACAATTTTTGGATCACACAAAATGTCGTCCCATGTGGGGTTTGAACCCACAACACTCGGCGTTGGCCATCCGTGCAGTCAAGTTAAATGTCAAACTTAACACATAATTTCCATTATTTAAAAACAAAAAATATAAATCAAATTATATGTGTAATCTAATTTATGTTTGCTAGAATAAATTGTTGATGTTGCAAGATTTTATCTGTATTAAAAGTTTTAGGACATTTAAGAAACCAAATACTTGATTTGGACTTGAATACACTAATACGCATCAAGTATGTAAACCTTACTAAGGTTTTAAATTCATATTTATAAATAATAAACAACAACTTCAAACAAAGGCTTTTAAATTACAAATATTTGTTCCACCCCACAAAAGTCATAAAGGAATATTTTGCCGCCACGCGTCCAGTTGGCGGCGCCACGTGATCTAAACATAATTCGCCTCAACTAAAGAGCCGCGGCACGTGCCTATGAGTACGTATATTGCTTACAAAATACTTTCACACGTTTTATAAGAGGCCTATCTAATCCTTGAAAAGTAAATATACTACTTAATTACGTCCCTTGATGTAATGCAAACATACACATCGACTAAATGTTTAATGCGAGATCATAAAAGAGTAGGTATAAAAACCTTAGTATATCTGAGTTGCAACGCCGTCTTTGGCCATGCCGGGGCCCCTGGGCACACAAGAATTTGGAGTCCTCTTAGGCAGTAAAACAAAATCAAAGACCACATATTTTAAGCTATGCTATTTTACTTATAATGGGTTATTAGCAATATTTACATATATTTATAGACATTAATAGATATCTACATACCTAATATAGGTATATCATATATAAATACTAGCATTCCACCCTGGCTTCGCACGAAAATACGCAAGAAATACTTATTGAAAATTAGCAGATAGCAAACACTAGTCTAGTATAACTAGTGTTTGCTATCTGCTAGGTATTGTTAGTGTACATTGACTATCAACGGAAAAAAGTTCAAACATTGTATGCACTTTCAATGTTTCATTTCACCCTATGTTTAAGAGAGTTAGACCTAAGAAAGTGTTACAGAGGAAATGAAGCTATACTATAAGCGTATTTTTAACATAATTCCTTAACATGCAAACCTGCAGGCATGGCAAATAGTGCTTATGTTGTTTATAACACTTACAGGCTTTATCATATATTCCAAGGCAATAGGGTTTTATGAAAATGTATTTATAAATAGTCTGAGTTAGTCTACATTTTCTGTAGAGTATCATTGGTCAATTCTGGAGTGAGAGCGGAAGTCCAGGACGAGTTCGAAATGCGGCGGAACGATCACCGATAGGCACTGGTGCTGGAACAGCAGCGGAATGCGCGACAACTCGTTGGCCGGTGATGGCGTTCTGCCTAACCTCAAAGCTTGAGTAGATAGGGAGGGAGTTCACATCACCTTCCTACTGACGCAGGTACTCACTGCCAGATACCAGTGAGTCACTGGTCATGGTTGCTTCAGTGAATACCTATATCGGATTGCAGCATACACTGGAGGACGCCCCGCGTGGGCGTTTGAGCGTGAGGTAGACATTCCTGGGTCTCGATTAGACTAGCTGCGCCGCGCTTATCCTACGGAAATACTACATTTTTTGGGATAAGAATATTAGCCTATGTGTTAATCCAGATGTCAGCTACTTTCCTACCAAATTTTGGTCCAGCCGTTTCAGCATGAATAAGTAATAAAGATACAAAAATAACTTGTAAACTTTCGCTTTTATAACATTGTATCCAATGTATCCGTGTGGTGACAGATTAAGAATACGGAATGTCACCACCCCTATTCATCCCGTGGGTGTCGTAAGAGCCGACTAAGGGAGCAAACTATGCAGGACAACAGCACTGCAAAGAGAAGGAAAACTTGACATAAACCCTATACCAACCCGTCTGGCCAGCGTGGTATAGTAGGCCAAAACCTCCTTTTCAAGGAGAGGCCTAGGTCCAGCAGTGGACTATTATAGGCTGTTGATGTGTGTGATGATGATGATGAACATTGTAACAATTTTTGATTTTTCTTTTTATCTTTAAAATTTCAATGATTAGATAGGGATGACATAGAACGAAGAAAAAAATAGAATCAATCATCAAAAAAAAAATTCATAAATTATAAATTTAATATTTTGTACAATTTAATGTGTAATAATTTAAATATTTTTTGAACGAACTGACTGTCTTACCAACAGGCGACTTGTTTCGGAACGTAACGTATGGCAAAATTGGTTATGTCAAAAGTGTCAAAACAATCACAACACAACAAGTGTGCTCGGTCGCACTTAACCTCAAATAAGAAGTGTTTAAAAGTTGTAAACAGTTCAGTGAAACCGTTAAAAATGGACGATTTACAATTAAATATATCAGTTCCAAAGAAGGTATGTACATTTCTGTTCGATGTTCTTTACAGAAAAATTGAGTTACTTTTAGTTGTGTAATTATTTCTTGTTAATTGTTAGGATAAGAAGAAAGTTAAAGGTATTGAGCAGAATGCATCAGAATATAAGTTTGTGTCAAATCCAAAGTTTACTGGTAAAACTATAGCTAGGAAAAGGCCACAAAATTTAGCACAAAAGAATAAATCAGTAATAAACAATGCCCACGGTCCGCCTAAGGTGTCTAAAACTTCGGAACAGGGCCCAGATAAATCTGACGATTTAGCTGCTAAATTACGAGACCTTAGTGAAAATAAAGGAAAGTTTCAAGGCAAGAATTACCAAGACCTTAGTGATAACCTTCAAATAAAACAAAAGCCTAGGAGTGGAGGTTGGATATCTTCATTGTTTAAAAACAATCCACAAGTGCCTCGCATTGGCCAACGAGCCATAAAGCCCATTGTGGAAAAAGTGTTTGCTGGACATAACTTTTCAGATCTAGATATACACCCACATAGTGTCGCAAATTTGCAGCAAAATCTAGGTTTAAAGGAACTTATGACAGTACAGCAAAATGCCGTACCCATTATACTACAGGGTCGAGATGTTCTTATAAGGTAAGTAACTTAATTCTATTCCTTGTTACACATTAAACATGTTTGGAATTTGACACTGGACAATCAATTAATGAAGTTATAATATTACACAATATTAAAACATCAATGTAATGAAGATAAATTGTGCTTTGTTTCAAATTCAGATTGTAAAGTTATGTCTGCCTAAGAAATAAATTTATATAAATACTTCTTATTTTAAAGTCTATGTATTTATCATTATAAGAAATCATAGCTAAACATAACTATTTCCAAGAATATGTTCTTTTTATCTTGTTATTACTTTACAAGTATTCTTTAAAAACAATAAAAAACAATTCACACTTACTCTATTTACTGTGACAGATATTAGAAATAATATGTGCTTTAAACTTTTTTTTTATATAGGTCACAGACTGGTTCTGGTAAAACCCTAGCATATGCTCTCCCAATTATAGAGGGCCTGCAAGCAATAAGACCTAAACTCAACAGGCATGATGGTATCAGAGTTATTGTAGTGATACCTACTAGAGAACTAGCAGTGCAAACTTATGAACTCTTTGTTAAACTGGTAAAGGTATGTAATGCTTTATATAAACACTGGTCACTTGTAATACATTAAACCATTTGATCCTAAAGTAGGCTTTGCCTTGACCTTGGTAATCAGAGAGCTGATAAATATATTAATATGTACATCCTACCCTTTTCCCAAAGTTATTTTTGATCAGCGTAATGATTTTTCTTTTATTCTCATCAGTCACTTGTCAGTTTACTGCTTACTCCCCTTCTAGCCATATCCTCTTTCACGCAGCCCATCCATATTTCTTCTACCCTCAATTCCATACATAAAATTTTCTTCACTACATTTTGCCCATCTCTATGCATCACATGTCCATAGCAGGATAACCTGTTGCTTCTCAACTTTTTATGGCTGGTGCTATGTTTGGCTACCTCTGTGTTCATTTCTCACCTTGTCCTTCTATACAAATAAATAAAATTGAAGTGTCTGTTTGTAATGTTAAAATAATAGGTTTTTTCATGCTCACACAGTTATTTGCAAAATAGCTATGACTAAAAACAGACACTTTAATTTTATTTATTTACTTATATAGATTATTTGTATAGATGTCCCATGATGCATGCATCCATGCATGTTCCATGATGATCATATTGTCTAGATATATATTACGCAGTCATATCTAGTGTAGAACAGTAAGAATATGCTTGATGGTATTCAATATTATTAGTGAACATAGAGTTGTTTCCTTCATGTTGCTAACATTATTGACCCTCTAATTTTTTTTACCTAATAACATTAACTGAAATACTCTTATATTCTCAAATCTGCATATAATAGTAATTATATGCAGATTTGCAAGTTTCTCCAGATTACTTTGATTCAAAAGTCTCAATACTCTACCTCATATAGGTAGTAGGTAGGTAGGTATATTTCTAGAAATGTATTGTGTGTATTTTAATATTTTGTTCACGAAAATAGTAAGTGGAGTCTTAGATTCCATATAGATTTTGTTAACTTTTTATTTTTGGTATCAAACAGAAAAATTACAACTTGTGATTTGTCAGAAGTTGGATGTCAGATATTTACAAAGCCTAAATGGAGAGAAAGTTAAAAAAACAACATATTATGATATCACACATGTGAGAGTCAGTAATGCACAATAATATTAACATTTCTGATGTATTATTTTACTCCGTAGCCATTTACATGGATAGTTCCTGGTTTGTTAAGTGGAGGTCAAAAAAGGAAGGCAGAGAAGGCGCGGTTGAGGAAAGGCCTCAGTATATTGGTAGGAACACCTGGTCGTATCAATGATCATTTGAGACACACACAATCATTGAACTTTGCCAAAACTGGGTAAGTACTACAGTTATATAGTGTACTCGTATAGAATAATAAGTGTTAATATATTAATCTTATCAAGAATATGAATGTGCAGTACAAGTACATAACAGCTTCAAGGGTCCTTGGTCTTAAATAATTATTTGATTTAGGCTTTGCAGTAACAATTATTTTTGGTGTCTAATTGATCTATCTAAAGGTAGAAGAAGTGCCTAATCCTCCTACTCGAATAATTAACGGCAATACGTAGATATTCGATGCAAAATATTGTTTTAGGTGTTTGGTACTGGACGAAGCTGATCGCTTGTTAGACATGGGCTATGAAAAAGATGTGGCAGCTATAGTGAAAGCAATTGAAGATCACAAGAAGGCGGCAACTTACGACCCTATGGCTATGATCAAACAAAATATAGTAAAAGCAAATCCTGTAGATGATGAAACTAAAGATTCAAATGCAAACGAAGAGATTGGAGAAGTTACTATTAAAAAACATAATTTGACTGAAGTATTTTTGTCAAAAGAAAAACAAACTATTTTACTATCAGCTACTCTTACAAAGGTAACACTAGATCAACCCTTTCCCACAATAATAAAAACTATGTATTTATGTACATGTACTATAATGATTTATGTTTACTTATACTTGTTTATTTTTAGGCAGTAGAAAATTTAGCTGGAATTACATTGGTAAACCCAGTATTTGTAGATACCTCCGAGGGTAAAGCAGTGATTGCAGATTCACTAAAAGCTAACCAATCTAATGAACCACCAAAAAAAGTTAAGACTAATAAGGATACACCGAAAGTACCAGAAAATCCAAAAGTAGTCGAGAAAGAACAAGAAAATGATACAGATGAAGAAAAACCGGCCGAAGTGAAAAGAGGTTAGTGAAAAACATTAGTGAACATGTAAATATTTAATTTTCATGTCAACCCTATATTTTAATAAACAGTAAATGTTAAATTTAGAATGTTAAACACAATTTCGGCTTATATCTTCTTTGTATATCTAGGTTTAAAAGCATTCACTGGTCTAAATCATCCTGACTTATTTAAAAAAGAAGACGTAAAGCAAGTAACTACTACTAAAGATAGTGTTCAAAACTCAGTTGAAGAAGACAGTGACAGTGATTCAGACTATGAATACTTTAAAGTTCAAAAACAACTGGCAGCTAAAGTAAAAGTAGATAAAAACTCTGAAGACGACGACAGCGACGAAGAGGTTGAAGAAACTAAACTGGCCCCCGAAGTTAATACTTTTGCGGAAGCACTAAAAACAGCAGTTGGTGAAGATGATCTAGTTCTTCCCGCAACTGTTAATCAAACATTCCTTATTGTGCCCATGAAGCTACGGCTGGTAACATTGTGCTCCTTAATTGTAGAACATTGTGTCGTAAATAAGAAAGGGGGGAAAATGATAGTTTTCATGGCAACTTTAGAAATGGTTGACTACCATTCAGAACTAATAGAACTGGTGCTAACAGGAAAAGACGTTAAAGTTAAGAAGAAGAAATTGGAGAAAAGTAAAGCCAAGAAAAGAAAAGCTAATGAAGATGATGCTGAGGTAAGTTTAAAATATGTAAAAGATCTTTTGTTATTTTAATTGAACTCTTGATATTAAGAAAATGTTTGCGTTTGTTCGTTTGGGTTCTGCGTAGGACGCAGAGTCGTCCGAAGAAGACTCAGATGACTTTCAAGTAGACTATGAGGAACCTTCAGAAGGAGCATTGATTCCAGTAGACATAGAAATGTTTAGTCTTCACGGATCTATGCCGCATGAACAACGGATGGAGGTCTTCAAACAATTCCGTGCTGCTAAAAGCGGTGTTCTTATTTGTACGGTAAGTTGTATGAGAATATATCGCTACAGTTCTGTTTTCTTCTATTTTGTATTTTTGATTCGAATTTTGTGTTTGTTTTGTAGGAGTTTACTCAAATTGCAAATAGACATAGATTATAGTCTGAAGTTCGTCAGTCGCATTCTCTTAGCCTTGAAAATGTCGCAAGTAGTCGCAACGTTTATAAGACAGAGATCAATATAAAATTTTGTTATTTTATTTTGTGCTTGTTTTCTAGCCTAACAAAGTATATACCTACTTCGAGGCATGTGAGCTGACTGCTGTCTAATTAATATAAATGTATAAGAGATTAGTACTGACTTACATCTGGTGAAAGATCGGGTTAGGTTACTTGAATTGACTTCTAGGTGTGCCGTAGTCTGTACGAGGGATTTCCTTTCTAGGGTACACCTGCTTTCCAGGCAACTGATTTTTGGTCGGTTCGAGTCCGACATAACTACACCACCGGTAGGTGGTATCCGAGGGGATTTCCGCACAAAAAAAAGGTGTGCCGTAGTCGGGCTACAGACGTACCTCATATGTGATCATGCCCTAGCTCGAGGTACCATATATAAGTCTTAATAGAATTCTTTATTTAATTAAATATTAAATAAGGGGTTATGGTACAAGCAGCGGTATTATCGCTAGCTGCAATTAGTTGAATAGGAAGTTAAACAGGTGCACGAATTAAACTAATTAATTTTAGAAATTATTTGAATGCAAGTTATAATTAATAAATAATAATTAGCTGTTAAACTGGTTTTTATAAACCAGGCTAGGTAAAAGAAATATTCCATTGATTTGATATTACATTACTAACTTCCGATATAGAGTTTTTTTATAAAATAACCGTTCACCTCAAATATTTTAAAAGATATTTATTAAAACTCTATTGTAAAATTACAATAGATTTTCAATTTATTATTATCAAGAAAAAGGGCTACCAGATTAATCACAGCGTTCTTAGCACAACAGCGTGGCGCATAGCGGCTCCTCGGCCTTTGTCGTCGGCGCGGTGCCTATTAGCTGGTCATTCATCTAGCTTCTCTGTCGGCTCCCACCGAATACACGTCGATTACGTACAATTATATGTGTTTATTACATCTATCCTCAACGCTGACACTTAACGTATTGTATTGATACTTCTTACGCTGGAGATTCTGATTACACTTTATTATGTGAAATTGTTCATTTATGTCACACTTAGATTTATCAGATACTAGCGACCCGATCTGGCTTTGTAGGACCAGTAGAGCATAAGCGAGTCCCGTCATCAGTAAGTTGCCACTGCTCTTGAATTTATTTTCGCGGAAATCTCCCTGCCTGAGAGCTTCAAAAAATAACGTCATATTAACACCAATTTATACAAAACCGTAATATACTTAATTATTCTTATGAATCACTTTCACTTTAGGTGAAAACTGTATTAAAATCCATTTAGTAGTTTTTGAGTTTATCGTGAACAGACAGACGCGGCGGGAACTTTGTGTTTTATAAAATGTAGTGACTACATGATGTTCGTGAAATGAAGCTCTAAGCATACCTAGATATAATAGGTATATTCAGTATTTTCGTTTTGACAATTGCTTAAACACATAAGGGCGCTGGTCCACCGTCACTGTTGCCGGGACTTCAATGAAGTTTGATCGATGCTCAAAAAATGACGATACATTGACGATACATTGTCGGCACACTTCTCCCCCTTGGACGTGCCTCTCGTATCGTTTTCTGAGGGCCTAGTGCAATTTTATTTCACACAAATATGCTCCTCCATAACGATCGCGTTCCATGTTGCGATTGGTGAAGATTTCAGTGTGCAATCGATACGATACGTTCGAGTAGATGTGAAATAAATTCACACTTGATGCTCAGGTTGACAACGCGGTGTCCCCCCGTCGGCTACGAATGGACACCGAGTCGAGGTGGTGCTGGTCAGATGGATGCTAAGACCCGTAGGCGATTATGACACTGTACCGCGCTCCGTCGCGTAGCGCAGGGTAGTCTTGCAAATGCAGCGAAGGCATGAAATATCGTAATTTGATGATTGAATATCGTTTTATGATGTCGTTAATGTTTAGTGCACTGTAATGAATAATAATTTTAAAACTTAAACATTTTTAAAAATATTATACGTAGCTTGTGCACCTGTTTCACTCTCGCGAAAGTGAGTGTGGAATACCACGTACCACGAGTCTAATATGCTCTGTTGTGGTAAGTGTAAAATTAAAGACGCTATACATTGCAGTTTTTATACAATTATTATAACGTATGTTCACAGAAACATTAATTGTATGGTCTGATTAATAAAGTAAGTGGAATATCGATTACTTGATTCGATGAAGATGTACATTTGGTATATTTGATTTAAGGAACATTCAGTATGAAAAGGAAATATTGTTTTTTTTTGTTTCGATTGGTTTCAGCAGTACTTTTTCTTACCAAGGGTTATAATTTTTAACTGACTTAAAAAAGGAGGAGGTTTTAAATTCCATGGTTTTTTTTTTTGCTTGCATGTTATTTTATGTTACGCGGTATCATTTCCATTAAAACTTATTTAAATATAATTGCTTAAAAAATCCACTTAGGCTGATAAATTAAGGAATGGAAAATTAACCTATTCTTAATAATTGGATGAGGGTTAATGATCCTTTTAGAAGTCGTGCCTCTGAATAACTACCAATTGCAATAATTTATACCCGATATGACGCGGCAAAAAATTAAACGTCTTGATACTGCTCCTGCCTCGAACAATGCAATTAAAATTGTTTTTGCTTGATATCTACTAAAAGGAACGAATAAAATTGTTTGTAATATTTTTAACGGTTGGTCAGTAGCAACCGTGAAGCGTAAAATAATTTTCTAATAGTGTAATCAGTAGGTGAATATGTATGTTGCGTTTTAATTGCTTTTATGCAAGTTATAGTACCGTATTTAGTGCAACATAGTCTAGATTTTGAAAGACATCTCGATAATGTAATAACACTATTTTCGGACATCCGACACAACGCCACCTAGTTTTAAAACTAAGCCTGTACTATGAAAGCTAGATTGACTAATACAAAACTTATAAATGTTTTTTTATTTTAAATACATGCATATTATACATAGAAAACACCCAAACTTCGAAACAAATATTTGCAGACCATGCAAACATTTGGTCCGACCCTGGAATCGAACCCGAGACCACTGTATTTATAGACTTGGCGGGCGCAAGTCTCTTGCAATAGATTCACATATTATTATGACGGAACATTGTAGTTATAGTCGGTTTGATTCCCTCATAACTCCGGTGATGACCTGTGGGGGTTTCCACATGATAATAAAGGAATTAAAATCACAATATTTAACGCAATTTTAAATGATAGAGTGAACCACTTAAACAATTTCCTTACAGTTATAATGTTATACGATAGTATCTGGTTTAATATTGGACTCGGCGGGCGGTAGGCGCGGTGACTACCGCGGCAAGCTCACTCGTTTACTTGTTGTACGAGCAAGCTTCTGTACGCTCACTATATTATTTTTATTTAATGCTGTTCCTAGATTACTTCTAGGAATAATTTTAATAACTATTAGATTATGGTAAAACATGTAAATTAAAATAGGTAAACGTATAAATATACATAGGTAGTATTTAACTTTAACATTTCTGAAGCTTTCTTTTACCATGTTTCATTGGTTTCCCTTGTATTATTTTTACATATACATTATTAAAGTTTCATATATCAAAAAGCATCGAAATCTGTCTGCTATGTAAAAATTTAGATCACACCAGCTGTATATGTTTATATCTTACGTGTTAGTTTCGCGTATAAAGAATTAAGATAAAATTTTACATACTTAGATAGAAAATTTAACGAATAAGTCGTTTAAATATTTAGCTAATCTATTAAAATAGCTAATCTATTAATCTTATCTAAGGTATATGCTACAATACTGAAAACTGGATTCCTGTTCTGTTAACTCACGCAACTTATAATTAATAAAAATAATTAATCTACTTGAACTAGGTATATCTGTACCTATCGCGTGACTTGTTGCAAAATGCATTTGCAATTAATAAGTTTGTATATTTTCAATTGCATTAACGCGGTTTATGGTTTGCTTCATTTAAATCAATAATAATGGGGTAATTGACCTCATTAATATAAACAATATTTATGTTTTTGCTAACTTCGTTAAGTCTAAGGAAATATCACTAAGTAGCATTTACAATAAAAAATATTCAGCTATAATTAAGTGAATGAACAAATCAAATTATACATTTACATTATACTTTAAAATTATGCATTCAGCTCAAAAATAATATCGATTTAGTTTTATATGTTGCTTTTGTTGACAGGATGTCGCAGCCAGAGGCATAGACGTTCCGCGTGTGGATCTAGTATTGCAATACTGCGCACCTGCCTCCGCCACAGATTATGTACACAGGTAAATTGATGTAGTTTTACTACATTCTGTCCACTAAGAAGTTTGATGTTTTCTGTGTATCGTTGCCTTAATATCCGTAAAGTTTTGTTAATTTCTAAAGTGTATTTTAATTCTGTCTTGAAACGGATTAAATTAATAAAGATGAATAGAAAGAAGTTGTAGTGCGTAGTATAAGATCTATTTGAGAATGATTGTTAAGGTTGTATTCGAATCAATTAAAGATTTAGAGGTTGAATGTACGTTCATTCGTTTTTTTTACAAATAGGGTGGGCCGCACAGGTCGCGCAGCGCGCGTAGGAGCTGCTGTCATGTTCCTGTTGCCCAGCGAAGCACAGTTCATCAGGCATTTGGAGGAGAAGAGGATCAGGTAAGCTGATATTCTATTACCTACGTACAGACAGACATAATAATTTTCAAAATAAATCATATTCTAAGGTTTTTTTTGACAAAAGGCTTCGTCAGACGGATGAAACGCGAGCTCTGGAAGCTCTTCGTACAATAGCGCCCACTGCCACGAGCGTGCAGCGTGCCGCTGTCGCTGTACAAGCGCGCCTTGAGAAAACCACACATACCAACAAGGATTGGCTTCTAAGGGCCAGCAGAGGTGAGTTACTTATTTTATTTTATAATAGCAAACATGCTCCAGTCATGGTGAGCATAGTTCATTTAACATCACTTTCCATGCTATGGAATATTGAAAAACAGTACAAAACCAAAAATAGTCAATTAACTAAAGACTATTAACTAATCGCATTAAGGCCTTGTCTGCGAGAGGGTCAGAAGATATAAGAAATCCGTGCGAAAAACTAGTGAGTACAGCTATTTTAGCGTATAAACAGACTGTAATATTCTCATAATCGGAAACGAAAATAGCCTAGTGTGAGTTTATTTCACATCAATTCGCTCTCGGCGGCAAGCTCGTTCACCGTTGCGATTGGTGAAGATTTCAACCTTAGAACTATTTAGCTATACATAGCTATCTTTTTTTTTATTAATACTGATAATCAACATCCAATACTCAATACATTTATTGCGTTTCATAATATGATACAGATGTCAAGCTTATAATTAGGTTACAATTATAGACCTTTTCGGGCACAGCACAATGTTAGGAGAGAGGAAGAGTTTGTCACAATTATTATTATTAGTGCCTAGACAAAGTTAATGATATAAATTATTGCACACATGTCATATGATATTATTGCACTGTTAGGTCGGTAACCTGTGGTGAGTCATTATATTATCCACATCTAAAGTAATTTCATTTATTTTTATGTTTAATCTATTAAAATATTTTCCATTTTTGTTGTAGATAAACTTGCTTTCCTTAGGTATCTGTTATAAATGTATTATTGGTAAGCAACCTTATAATGCCTTCAAGAAGTTTGCCGATGCCTAGGCCATATATTTCAAGTGCCCAGTTCACCTAAAAATAAATAATTTGCCCTGCCTTTGTCAGCCTATACTTCGTGGGTTCGTTTCTATGCGGGCTATCCACGGGACGTTCGTGAATATCTGGACTCCAAGAAACTGCACCTAGGCCATGCGGCCAAGGCATTCGCCTTGAGAGATGCTCCCGCTACTCTCGCACGACGAGTGAAGTCCAACCCCACCAACAAGAAAGATAGACCTTCTAATAGACTGACCGTTCATGAAGATGAGGAAAAGAAACGGCCGGGGTGAGTGTATGACTAGTCGTAATTATATAAATGTATAAGTTTTATACGCGTGTATATTATATCCTTACTACTTGTTTTTTGTTGGACTTGGAACAGTCTTGATTGGATTATTTGGTAAATATTAAAATATGCTAATTTATACACACAAGTCAAACTTGGGGTGTTTACAGGTTTACAGTAATTAATTTAGTTGTCAATTGTAATATAATTGTTAAAAAAGTTGTCATTGGCCAAGTTCATGAAAAATACTCGAATAGTAGTAATGCGCCGATACGATCCAATCTTTCTAAAGATGGGATCGTGGGCATACGATCCAATTGATTTCCGGATCGGATCAAAACCATGCGATCCGATTGGATCGCGATCCAGACATTGTGGTTTGCACACAAGTTAATCTGCCATCGTCGTTGCTATTTATGGGCAACGGCGAGTAGAAAGATAACACTAAATGCACTTGTTTGTTATTTCTAACAAAAATTGTATGTAGGATGTGAAATTGCGAATATACAAATATTTTACTATCTCATCCATTTCTTCGTTTTGTTATTTTTTTTTCTTCATTTTTTAAAAAGACTACTCCCGCATGAGGAATAAGTGTACCCTGTGTCGCGGGAGACTTTACAAACATACAATAAACGGACACAAAGAACACCCAGACTCAGAAAAACAATTTGTGGATCACACAAAGTATAGTTTCATCTGGGGATCGGACCCACAGCACTAAGCGTAGTAGTAAGCGGCGTGGCGATCGTTAAACCACTACGCTATCCGTGCAGTCAAAGTGTGTTACTTTAAACAGCAAGTCTAATTCCTAAAATGGCACCGCCTATAAAGTCAAGTGCGTGTTCTAATTTTATAAAAACATTTGATGGAGCGAAATGTAAACTATGTTTAATGTTTGTATTTGTAAAAAAACAAGTGGAAATGCAACTCATCTTACAAGACATCTTACATCTTATAAAAAGTTATCACCTGGTCCCTTAACTTTATCACCAAGTGTAATTGTAAATATGACAGTAATGAATGTGATTGCATCAAAGCAGCCTCAGATTGACAACACATTCTCGAATATTAAGTTAAATACCCAATCACTTTTTGTTTTTTAATAAACACATTATTTGATAATATTTTGTATTTTTATGCAATTTTTTGTATCGTTTTTAAGAGAATCGGTTCGAGTGCATGCGATCCGATCCGTGGACCGGTCTAAACGTTACGATCCATTACGACCCACAAAATCGGATCGAGCTTAAAAAAACCGCATCCTTATCGAATAGAGATCTGACAAGTAGCAAACAGAAGTTAGTAGCAGATTAGTACTTCTAGAATGTAATTGTTATATTATTGTAATCATAGAAAACAAAAGTGCTAAATGCCTTAAACAACATTATTTGACATGATATGAGATACTATGTTTTTCCGTTCTCTTACAGATTCGCTAAATTAAAATTTGGTTTCGGTGGTCGTCACATAAATAAGCAGAGTTCCATGCACACAGCAAGTGAGTACGACAGTGGATTGCCTCCGCTTGAACATTCACAACCCAAGAAGAAGAAGAGTAAATAAATCATAAGAGTTATTTAAAACGCCTTGTAAATAAAAAATATGAAAATATATGTACTAAGTTGTGTACCTGTGTAGTTTTATTCAGTAATCAAAAAGTCCGGTTTACAATACATCGGACTAACAATGTCGATTTCATAGAATTCATCATCATCATCATCATCAACAGCCTTTAATAGTCCACTGCTGAACATAAGCCTCTCCTTAGAAAGGAGGTTTTGGCCTACTATACCACGCTGGCCAAGACGGGTTGGTATAGGGTTTGTGTCAAGTTTTCCTTCTCTCTGCAGTGCTGTTGTTCTTCGTAGTTTTCTCCTTTAGTCGTCTCTTACGACACCCACGGGATGAATAGGGGTGATGACACTCTGTATTCTTAATCCGTCACCACACGGACTTATTATTTTCATAGAATTATTACAAATGTTTCAAAAAATCTTTATTTCTTTTATTTAAAACCTATTTGTTTTAGTTTACCTACCCTTATTTTAAGAATAACTAAGAGTTTTTGGTTTTTTGGGTAGTTAACCTATCCTAAGGTCAACTTTAGTCTTTTTATTGCAAATTCACATATTTAGTTATAAGCTATATTCCTGGACCTTTAATTTGCCACACTTTTTTAATGAATTGGTTGTTGAATTGATTGCTCCCACCACTTCATTAAAAAAATAGATCGGTTCACAAACGGCTAAGGTATCGAGTAACATAGATAAAAAAACACTTTTTGAAATTAGTTAAGAACTCATATTGAAAAGTTAAATGAACCTCCTTTAGACCTCTATATATTTCGACTCTTTGATTGCACTTTTTACAATCAGAAATCACAAAACAACGTATCCGATATGATTGAACATAAAATTGGCATCATATGATGGAACGACCACATTTCGACAACTTAATCTAACCACTGATCATGAATTTATTTCTGCATCTGCACTTACCTTAATGTGTTTTCATTTATTTATTTAAAAGGAATGTTAAAAAAAATACTGTTCACACTTTATGCAACAGCAACATTTTCCAAATTAATTGTAATAAAAGTAGTAATACTGCAGCTCTAATTCTAACCAGAACTCTTAATCGAATAAAATTTGTGGGTTTTATAACTATCAAATTATTCGATACTAGCTTCTAACTTGCTCCGCCTGCATGAATGTCGGTTATCGCGATAAGAAGTAGCCTCGCTGATAATCTAGCTTTCCATTGGTAAAGGATTTTAAAAATCGATTTACTGGTTTAGGCGTCAAAGCGTAACAAACATACAAACCCAAACAAACTCACTTTTACATTTATTATATACCAAAGAATGGATTTTTGACTTATCCTTGAAGCTTGTCCATTCAGGAGAGATGTGAGGAATAGTTTAATAAAAGTATATAAATTCGAAATACAAACTTGGTAAGCAGGTATTTTATTCAAGGAAGAGTTTTTTTACATTTGGATATCTGTTCAAGGTCTTGTCTTTATCTTTTAAATATTGTAGTGTTTCAAGGTATATCGTAGTATTGGCATTATCACTGGCTGCTGAAGAATCAGCGTAATACAAAGCAACTAAAACGAACGGACCAACTTTATTACGCTAGTGTGCGTGCAAATCAAGCAGTAATAGCGACAGCGACAACATCTGACTCACAGCGACAGTGAAACGAAACTTAGCGACTAACAGTTGAACAATATTTTTGCCGACACTTTGACAGTCTATCTAGACATATCAACGATCTAAGGTGTTTTAAAGTTTTACTAACACAAAAATCATTTTTGCCTTTTGGATGCCTGCTGTAACTAAGTGAGTAACGTTTTTGTTTTATTTATTCCTCGGGAGGTAACAAATGAGACATGGAGCTCGTCCAAAATTCTAATCGCGAATCGGCTAGAGTTAATGGAAGCCGCGCCCGAACGATGGCTACCGTTTTCATATTTCTGACTCACGAGTGACTCGAATGAAAAATGATTTTAAACCATTACCATGGCCCGTCCGGCCTTTTGATATTTAAATTTTTTCAAGCGGCCGTCATTATCACGGAATGATTTGCGAATTTCGCCCCAGCTAGCGGTTTTTTGTCAGACTCTGAACGAGTTTTTTGTCGCTCTCATTTACCATGTTTTTATTGCTACATAATGACAAATTAAAAGAGTATTGTAAGCCTCTTTCATGCCGCATTCTCTGGCCTTTTCAAGGTTGAAGGGCTATTCTGAGGCGATTCCAATGACTCAATCGTGACACATTAATTTTCAAGAATGGATTGGATTGTCTATTGCTTGAATGTGTTGTAAAATATTTGCCTAATATCAATCAATTCTGGAAATAGCTAAATTTGTTTAACCTGAGACAATGGCTTGAGATGCGTGATTGAAATTCTAAAACAAAATTATTCTACTACTGGTTGTAGCTGCTGACTTCACTTCACAGTGAGTGATTTTGCGTTAGGTTTTTAACTCATTTTTCAAGCATAGTTTGAATACTGTGCAGGTAAGTCTATTTATTAATATAATATATCACAATAAATACAAGTGCAGTTCCAGTAAATTGGATTGGCGAAAACGCAAAAAATTATAGGGGCTTTATTCAACCTTATTTTTTTTTATATTGAGAAATATAAAATACGCACAGCCCATGCGAAAATAAAACTTGTGACGATTATAACTTATCTTGTTCTACGGTCTTCCAAACATCGCTTTCTTACAGATATCGATAGTCTATTTTTTGAGTGCCAGTCGCTTATTACGCTGATAATGAAACCTTAATAGCAAATTCAAAACAATTTTTTTTCACAATAAAGTGTATGTAATGTAACGTTTTGTACTTTATAGTTATGTTGCGAGGCTTCGCGCGTCATTAACCAGCACATTTGCATGTCGGCCGGCGCCAAAGCTCGTGAAAATGCCTTTTCATTAGCATCAGCTCTACTGAAAAATTGTTCTGGCAGCCATTCGTTGTATGTGATACAGAGCCAAATGAATTATCTATAAATGGGAATAATTAGGAAGGCCAGATCTGTTTTATATATTTGTGTTTCAATCGGCCAATAAAACTGTTTTGGCATTCAGATGGATTGGCAACTTTTATACTGATCATTCATTTTAAAAGCTTGTTAGAAGTTATGCAAATGGCCACGGTCTGGCTGGCTGAAGCACCTAGCCTGTTAGATTGCGTAGATTGCCTGCGTAGATTGCTCCCTGAGTCGGCTCTTACGACACCCATTGGATGAATAAGGGTGGTGACATTCCCTATTCTTAATCCGTCACCACACGGAAAGTCACTTGATTGTTGCCAACTAGGGACCTACCAGTAAACATTGCAACTTTGCTATTGGTAACTAAAAATTTTCTGTTTAATGAAAAGCTTCCCTAGTGTCAGGTAAAACGGAACTAAACCCCTCAGGGTTAGGGGGGTGCTGGTGTCAGGTAAAACGGAACTAAGCCCCTCAGGGTTAGGGGGGTGCTCCGGGAATCTCACGAACTCACTCGGTGAAAAATAATGAAAGAATTGCTCACACCGATTTTCTATGACTCTATGGTATTGGTAAGGTATATACCACAATAATCATTTGCGATAATCCATGTGTAGTTGTTTATTAGCTTAGTAAATTAAGACCGCTAATCTTATTCGCGCATTCAAAGCGATTGTCAAGCGTAGCACACTATGAACGTCTAGCGACCAGTATTAGATTAAATAAAATGCCGATATAGTGGCTGCTTTCACGGCGAAGAATTCTATTGAAAAGAGGCGAGTCAATTCGGTAGTACAATGAGGGCCGAGCTTGGTGGCCCGAGCCTAACTTGGATGGAGTGTAAATACGACAGATTTGTATACTGCCTTTATAAATTTTGACGCTTAGAGGTTTTGGCTTCTTAGTCCAATAAATACCTATGTTTTTAATATGGTGAGTGTAATTATAACAGTCAAGCTTAAACCACTAACTAGCTTAGACTAATGACAAAAATTTATACTATTTTTGTGAAGTGTTTACTTAGGACAAACCTGTATTATTAGCCTATATTATTGGATGAAGTTAATAAGAGGTTTGTGACATTTGTTCTTGTGACATTATTGGTTTAAGACAAAATGTAGACCAAATTTCAGACCAATAATTAAACAAGTACTTACACTGTCAAAACTGGATCAGTTTTATATAAAATTTTACTTGATTAAAGCGTATCTATGACAAATTGTAGTGAACGTAGTATAAAGCCTACGTCCGTAGCAGTTGGTCTATGTTTCGCGGCGGAGAGTCAAACGCGCCGCGTCACGACCCACCGAATTATGAGCACAAAGCGCCGTTGATACCGAATATTCCATATAAATATTGAGCTAATCGCCCTTTCAATGAAGCGGCCCGCTTTTTTATTAATAATTGATCGCAGAGCGGCGAGTCATGCGCTTGTATTGTGTAGACGAACATATTTTTTGCTTCAGCCCAACTCATTAATGAGGCGATCGAGTTGAGCACATGACGCCCGCGCCAAAGGGCGTGCTCTCCTGTGAAACTTGCATACGAAATGCCCAGGAAATGCCTTAATATGGAACTAATTTTTGTTTGTGCAACTGATGCAATGTGTATATTTTCCATTTAACATATAACTGATATTAAACATCCGCGGTATAAGAAGCAAGTAATTAGCTCTAAGAGTGATGCTTTTGTGGTATTCTGTTACACTGTGTGTATTGCAGACTGGAAATAAAATCAACTTGTTAATTTTTTATCCTTAATTTAGTATAATGTCCTGTAATGGTAGGGTTAGTTAACAGATTAGCGAATATTATATAGGAAGGAATAACCACGGTGAAGCCTCATGGTGTAACCACCATGCAAGTTGACAAAGAACAATGGCTGAAATATATATTTACCTAAAACTTAAGCGTTTAAAAATTGGCTCACAGTAAACCTAATAAGTATTTTTTCTATTATCATTATATCACCATGTGTTGTATAAGTCTTTTAAGAGATAGGATATTTTTGAAGATTTTATTTGAGATAAAGAAGGTACGTAATGTCAGATTCAGC